TTTTTTTTGACGAAACGATAGAGAAGACAGATGCATTATTCATATCATCATTTTATTGGAGTAACAACACAGGAGTTGGCATTGATAATAATATTTGTCTTAGAAACAGTAACATCACATCATCAGTTGACATTGATTTGAGTCTTCATTCCCAAATCGCAAAGGTTTGTAACACCGCAGACGAAGTAGTGAGACCCAGGTTGTAGGATTTCTGGCCCAACTGCAACATGTGGGGCCTGATTAGTACGTTTCTGTATAACAATCGCCGTTGCTTTATGCATCTTGCAATACTTAAAACTCCACTTATCAACTTTCATCAAATTGAGTAAGATAGCGTCGAACCTGAACACTGGCAGAGCAATCAATTTTGTAGATAAGTGAATTCAAAGTCAGTGTACTAATGAAAAATGAACAAATAGAATATTTTTTTAATTAGAACAAAATTTGAGAAAAACTCTCTATTCAAAATTCATTATATATAATATCCTTATATTATACTTCCTCCTATTTTTATTATTTTTCATTCTGACTTAATTGATCATTGATTAAATAAATGTCGTTTTAGTTATTTTATTCATATTTTTCCATTTTTAACCATCCATTTAATATACAGTGTCTCTTCATATCCTATCTCCATCATTTTTTCATAACATCATTAAATAAATTTAATGGTTAATATTGACAAGAAAAAAAATTCTTATTTAACGTGTTGTTTCTCAAAACAACAAATAATAGAAATATGAGGGAGTATAATTCAACTCGACTTACCAACTATGTCACCGTATGTCACATTAAACTCTGAATCTGCGGGTAACGACCAAGTCAAATGATACACCTTGGCTTCAGCAGTCGTGGCCGCGGCCACCACCATCATCACCAAAGCCGCGGCCAAGGCACTGCTTCTTTCTCCACCCATCCTTTCGAATGAAAACAAAAGCTCAAATTAGTAGTAGTTTAATTAAGGCAAGTTAAATATGCAAAGGAACAAACAAATCTGTTTTTTTGTGTGTGTGGAAATGCCGAACTGGGGGCGCATCAATTTATAATAGGCTTTCAGAGTGTGGTGGGCCCCATCCTAATATCATTTTTCTGATTAATTAATGAATTGAATTGGAGTTGAATTGAATTACCTAGCTCCATGCACAAAAATAATCAAGAATTAGCCACGTGTCATATGCTAGTTATACCATTAAATTATTTATTCAACCCCTTAATAATTATTTTATTTTGTTCGTTAACAGTTACAATTTTTTATTTATTTATTTATTTATTTATTTTTGCTGAAAGCAGTTACTATTCAAATCGTTGGGAGCGCCTTTGGAGCATGATTGGATACAAAAATTTCTTAAAAATATTCAAACATTTTTAACTCAACCATTTTTTTAACTCAACTTTAACTCAACTCCACTATCATCAATATTATCAATATAATTAAATAATATCAATCAATCATTCTTACACATAACATCACATTAATTCACTATTCATCCACTCACATAATTTTAACTAACCATCACTTAAAATCTTCTCTTTCCTACTTTACATCAAATCAACTTTAATCATTTTATTTTAAATATTATTTTCATATATCCACTAACAATTAACCATACCAACTTTTTCAAAACTAACCAATCCAAACAAAAAAATCCAAACAAAACAATTTTTTTTTTATATCCAATCATTTAATTCCTTTCTCCTTTTTTTTTTTTTTTGTGTGTGTATTTTATATCTGTAATAATATTTTATAATATTCTATTATTGTGGACTATATAATTAGTTTGACTTAATTGAATTAATAGTCAAACTTAATTAAAATGAATATGTATTTAATAGATTATTAATGTTCTTATATCAAAGAGTCTAATTTGTGATGTTTGACTAACAATAAACTAGGTTACAACATGAGAAATGTTATAAGTAGAATTATAATTCTAAGTCTCCTCCTATATATATACTTCTACATGTCCTCTCTCCCGACTCATACGAACAATAAAGTTCTCAACATTTGTAGTCATGAAAAATGTTTATGCATATAATTATTTTGTCGATTAAAATTCCTAGTCATGCTGTGAATTGATTGTCGCATATATTTCTGCACTTGAAATCGTTGCCGATTAAAGTTTGTGGCTGCGAATTGATCACCGCACATAATTCCTCACTTGAAAATTTGAAATCATTGCCGCTTTGATTGGAACTGTTGTAATCAAACTTTATAAGAAATTCATGTGTGTTGGATTTTTAAATTTATTCTGGTACGCATGTCAAATATGTGCACTAACGGTGGTTGGCTCAAGTGGTAAGCAGTTTGATGTTGCTTAAGCAAGGTCTCGGGTTTGAGTGATTGTGGATGCAGAAAACCCTTGTTGGGAGACTCACCCACCACTGCCAGGTGTGCGATCCGAGTCAACCAACGGATAGTCGGAGCATAGTTCTGGATACCGTAGTCGACTAAAAAAAAAACAAAAAAAATATGTGCATGAGTATTGGGATTTATCTGCGCAAATAATTGTTTTATTAGCATATCGTTGAGAATTATTTGAGAAAAATTAGTGGATTCATGTATACTCATGAATTGTTGGGTATTATTGCCAACGTTGACTCGCTGACGTTAAAGAATTATAGCATGTGTTTATAAATTGTTATGAATTATTTGCAATCTGTTATAACATATGAATTACAGGGCTTTGAATTGATATGTGAATTATAACATATGATTTTTCACGGATTAATAGTTAGTCGTCAAAGTTGCTTAGTTTAATTTATGGAATAGATAATTAAATTAGATGAAAGTATCGATTGGTCAAATATAAAAGGATGTCTTATTAATGTTTCTCAAATTATATATATGAATAATTGATGTCATGGATTATAAACTAGAAGAGGACACCCAAAGGTGAGCTATGTATTTATAGATGTGAGATAGCTATTTTCAGCCCGTTTTGAAGTCTTGTTATGTTTTTTACACCATTCAATAAAAAGCTAAATTTTTCACCCCAGAAAGTGCGAAAAGCATTGTGCGATGAATATGCGACAATTGTGCGATGACATTGTGCGAAAGTTAAAAGTGCGAAGACATTCGCATATCCCTTCGCACTTTCTGGGGTGAAAAAAAGTTAAAGTGCGAAGGCATTGTGCAATGAATATGCGACAGTTATGCAATTGATATGCAACAGTTTTTCGCATAACCTTCGCATATGCGACAATTATGCGATGAATATGTGACAAATTTCGCATAATCTTCGCACTTTTCGGGGTGAAAAACTTAGCTTTTATTGGGCGGTGTAAAAAAACTTAATGTGTCTTTGTATTGGGGTGAAAAAGATTTTTTTTCCCTTTATAGATTATGGCTAAGGGTGAGCATGGTGCGGTTCGGGAAACTGAACCGCACCGTACAAAAACCGAAAACCGAATTTCTGGAATTTCTTGACCGCACCGCATCGCAAGAGCAGAAAAAACCAAACCGAACCGAACCGAAATTTTCGATTCGGTTTTGGCTCGGTTCAGTGCTGTTTTTCGGTTAACCGAAATTAAAAAAAGAATAATACTGTTGACACCATTTTCAGCAAACCGAATTAAGCGACGCTGATCAGATGATTATGTTCAGTAGGAGGATGATTGAATTCGTACAAGTAGATGATGTATTCACGGATCTCAAGACGATCGCACATCGGGTAAAAATTCATCAAAGAACCGACATCGTCGTCAATTGACCGATATCTCATGTCGGTTATGACATGTCGGTTACTACATGTCGGATATGATATATCGGTTATAACTACACGGGCCGATATCCATGATTTGCTAGACCGACACCATGAGGCGGTGCCAACTCAGCACAACTCATCATTACACCTAGCCAAGTGGCACGTTATCAGGATGAATGGCCATTAGCCGCCGTTGACTATTCTTGTGTAATGATTACATATTAGATAAATGTTGTAAATAAATATAAAAGGAGAAAACGGTTCTCCAAAAAAAGAGGGACACAGACAATAATATTCAAAAAAATTTCCATCTCATTCAACTATTCATGTAGTCTTTGTTAATCTATCTTGAATTTACGATAAATCCCTGTTGATTATATAGTTAATTCCTGTTTAACAGCAGTTTGGCGCTAGAGGAAGGGCCTCATCCCGTTTTGAGGTTAATTTTCGCTGTTAAAGCTATTTTCGCGCTTAAAGTCACCATGTCGCAATCGGGTCGAGACCATACAGCTCATCCTGGCCAGAGTCAATCGACTAACCATTCCCCACGACGTTCAACACCACCTCCTCCGGTCACGAATATCACAAACTTTCTTCAAAACCCGGAGTTTATTCAAGGTTTAACCTCTTTGATAGCTCGAGCCATGCCTAGAAACTCGAGTACGGTGCCGTTATCAACGCCGTTAACATGAAAGGAAATTCATACGCTCCAAAAATACAGGGTATTGGCGGCGCTTCCCACTATGATTGATGTATTTCCTTCTTCAGTTTGCTTTCTCTCCGGCCAATGGTGATTGGTTAGAAAAGAAAGCGCTACCAATCCAACAGAAAATCCAAATCATACTCGTCATGACCCCGAAACACATGCGGCGACATCCCATGCTACGTCACAACCCCACCATACTTCTCCACGTCAAGAAGAATTAACTCGCATAAATGCTAACCCCCTAACTAACAACCAAGCCCCGGAAGAACCTCCCGTACAGGAAATGACTGCTGAAAGCCATTCTGCTCATCATCAGCAAATTCCGTCACGTCCTAGACTTACTTCACCAATACCTCATGTTCGTGAAGATTTGCGGCGCTAGATTGAACGGAATCATATTTCAAGACACAGTGCGGAGGAAATTGAAGCTCTCCGTAAACGCTTGGCTGAACTCGAGACTCGACAGAAGTCACAGAAAGATTCCCCCCGACATGTCTCGACGTCGAGAAATGTTGTTATTGAAGCTGATTCACCTTTAGCTCCGGAACTTACCGCCGAGGCACTTCCTGCTAAGGTAAAAATCCCACAAATTGGCATGTATGATGGAACATCGGACCCAGATGCGCACTTGGGTCATTATACGTCTTGGATGGATTTGCATGGTG